CTGCTTTCCCCAAATGTAATCTCTGTTTAAAAGATGGAGGCACTTCCTAGAAACAGGCTTGGGCATGGGGGAAGCAGACTCTTGCTTGCATCCATATATATGTATACAGGGATATATACAGGATCCCTGTTGCTTAATATCCCCCTGCTGTTTATTCCCCACCTGAAGTTCTCGAGAGATCCATTTTCGTGGCAGCAAGCAGAGGAAATGGCTTGTAGGAGCAACTTCCCTCATCTTTAAGTTACTGGACAAAGTGGTGTTTTTCTCTCTCGGATTAGTGTCTGGTCCTTGATTTTCCTACTGTAAGTCAATTCTTTCTTTAAAAGGGAGTCTTTCCCAAACAATAGCAGAAAAGTATTTGTAAGACAGTAGGCCTATTTATTAACTGAAACTTTAAATCTAAGAGTTTAGTAATTTTAGCTGAGTTATCCTAGTAACTGTGGGATTTCTTATTAATTATTCCTGTAAAATGGCACTTTTAAAAAAAGAAAAATGGTCTGTGGACAGAGACATTTAAAATGGATACTCCTTATAACTGTTATGGCTTGCTTACCATGAAGTAAACCCATTGCTTGTGAAAGGTTATGCTATATACATCTCTGATTTAGTTAATCTGTAAAGTGATAATCTACCCTCCTTTCTTGCTTATCATGCATTTTCTTGGTCATCTCTGCTTTTGCTACTACTTACTCCTGCTGTCTGCATAATCCTTTTTACCTGTACCATTCAAGATTAGTTTCTTAATAACAGCTACACGGAGCACGTTGTTTTATCAGCTACCATGAGCTCTGACTTGTTTTCCTGCCACCTCTAGGGTTTACATCCTTCACAGCTCTGATCATTTGGAAAGCATAGTTCTTCCTGGAGTGCAGTTGCGTCCTCTTCCTGGGCACATGTGATGAACTGGCTTCTTTCTGTGCCGGTTTGCATCAGGGCTGCAGGTTAGGGCTCTAGATAAGCAATTCTGGATGTGCTATTGGGTAGTTTGTGCCCTGAAGGGTGTGAATACTTATTTGCAGATGCTTCGTTTATTTAGGCAAGAAAAATGCTTCGTTGCTTTAGATGGAAAGTCTTTCCCAGAAGATGATAGGTTTTAGAAGATCTGCTGTGGTCTCATCCCAGGGTCACATGGAGAAAAAGGAACAGAAGCAGCAGAAAGATGATTTTGATGACTTACTTTAGTGGCCAGTACCTAACAGAATCAGTACCTCCTTAAAGGCAACCTAGCATGATGGTGGACAGCATCATCTGGCCATATATTCAGGCATGCCCACAGCTTTGTAGCCTGATTTTTGTCCTCTCCCTCACCCTCCTGCCTTTCTCCTCCCCTCTTCCCCCCCCCCCAAAGTACTGAAAACCTGCAGCTCCTGCTGACTTCAGGGGGTAATCAGTACCTCTGAAAAGCCAGCAGTTATCACTGTTTTTGTCCCTGATGGAGTAGTATTGAACTTAGACACAACTTGAAAGGAGATGTAGGGCACTCTTGATTAGCTTAGCCTTGCAGATTGAGCTGTCTATAAATACACCAGGTAGGTAAACAGCCAGGAAGGAGAAGAGCTGTTTAAGATAAAAGACGGTGCTGGCACAAGAACACATGGCCACGAGTAGGTTTAGGCTGAAAATGAAAAGAAGTTTTTGTTCATCAAAGGAGTAAAGCTTTGGAACAGCCTTCCAGTGTCGGGTGAAGGGGCAAGAAACCTGAATTGGCCCTAAGATGGCGTGCGATACGTTTGTGAAAAGAATTACCTGATTTAGCACCTGTTGTTGCAAAGCGCAGGACTTGTTGACCCAGGAGGTCCCTTTGAGCCTGACGCTCCTGTTTCTGAAATGAACTACTAGGTATATGTGAATCTGTCACTTAGTGTAACGCAAAAGGCTTGCAGGTGAACCTGGTTTTTATTCTGCTGCCAAAGCTCCTTCTCTGGGTCTTTGCTTACAAGGGTGGGCAAAATACAGCCTGCAGTCCAGATCCAGCCTGCCAAAGGATTTTGTCCAGCCCACAGTGGGTCCCTCGGCTCCACCTGGCCCAGGCGCAGGTGGCAGCCTGGGCTGGGGTGTGTGCAGTTGGTCCCACTACTCCCCAGATGTGCAGTGGGGCTGGGACAGTGCAACGGCCAGACTTGCTTCCTGGCAGCCCCGGCAGCAACAGCTCCTTCTGGCTGCTGCTGCTGGACCTGGATCCTCTGCCTGGGCACCCCAGCCTGTCTGCCTGGCACCCACCACTGGGGGCACCCAGAGCGGGTGGGCAGGGCGTTCATGGAGACCAGCCTGGGACCTGCGCAGGCAGGGTATGTGGCTGGGTGGATGGGATGGGGTCATAAGTGGCTGGGGAGCAGTGTCTGGGACCATGGCAGGTGGGCAGGGCCGGGGCTGAGACTGGGATTGGGTTTGCAAAGTGGAGATAATGTGGGGCCAGGGCCCGGGACAGAGCCGTGATCTGCTGCGTAATATCACTGCAATGGTCACCGGTTCTGCAGGCAGGGGCATGCAGGGAGTGGATTATGGCTCTTCCTGTGGCCCCGGCCCCATGCTGTCACAGCCCCAGGATCTCAATTTGAGGCCTGGCCCTGCCTGCCCTTCCTGCTCCCAGATTTCACTCTCCACCCACTAGTGGCCCCATCCCATCCACCTTACCAGGGTCCTGCATGTATGTCCTGCCCAGTGAGTGTGGGGTCAGGGCCCAGGGCAGAGCCTCCATCTGCTCCCCATGTCCCCCTGCCCATGGAGCTGGCACCCATTGCAGGGGCATGCTGGAAGCAGATTGCAGCTCTGCCCTGGGCTCTGGCCTTGTATTATCACAGTCCTGCAGTCCCAGGGGAAGAGGAGAGTGCTGACCCGGCCCACAGCAGCTCACCAAAACTGCCTAAGTGGAGCCGGCCCATAATTGCCAACTCCTGCCTTAGAGGATCTCTGGCCTAGGAGTAGGAGGTCCTGAGTTTTTGGTCCTTTTTGTCTCCTTTGGGGGAAGGGAGGATGGAGGGGTGTGTGTGTGTGGGTGTGTGGACGATAAAACCTATTTGTCCTGTTATTAACATGAGATACAAGAGTGGCACAGATACGGCAAGGAATTTATGAATGTAGAGCAACTTGTGTTCCTTGCCCTGAGGACTGTGCTGTCCAAAACCCTGATTTGCTAAAGACTGGCCATGTGCTTAGTTCTGAGCATATGAGCAGTGCCTTTAAACTCAGGAAAGCCAGCAAATTCAAATATCCTGAAGGCTTTGTGTTTTCAAAGAGATGTTTCTTTTTTATTATTATTATTATTTTTGTCCTTGCTTTGCCTTTGCAGTAGATCGTTAATGGTACTGCTGGAAGAGGCAAGAGATTTTTAGATCATGATTTTGAGCAGCGTTGCAACAAATAGATGAGCCGTGGCTGCTTGTACGTGGATAGTGCTGTATTTGGGAATGCACTGTCCACGTGGAAATATGGGGCAGTCTTTAATTTTCTTATTGTGTTTGTATTAAAATAATGCCAGCAGGCCCCAAAGATCAGAGCCATATTGTTTGATGTCAGCATTTGCAAGTATTTTGAATGCAGAGCAGGGGGAATTTATTGCTTGTACCCGTGTTAGAGCTGAGCTCTAGATGTCTTTTTAGTAAGGTCACCTTTTTTCTTGCAGTATTCCATATGTTTTATGGAGAAATCTCAATGGACACCTGATGAACTCATTATTGGGCTCATCTTTTGATACCAGAGCTCTGGTCAGTGGTTTAACCAAAGATTTATTTACTACTTGAGACTAGCGCTCTCCTCTCAGCCATCGCTTGAAAGGAGGATGCTTTGGTTGTGTAACTTCATGTTCCTGTTGGGAGCTTCAGCCATTAGTGAAGGACTCCGAATGATTTTCTTGTTGCTGCGATTGTGTTACCAGTCTCCTCCCACGAGGTTGACAAGCGAACAAAGGAGTGGCAAAAATAAGATATACCTACTTCCTTTGCAAAGCATGTTCCCCACTGTACCATAAGCCAAAACATATGATGCGTCACAGAACTTAACAATACAATAACTTCACCGGTGCTGTGAAATGCAGCAGAAAGGAAAGCAGTGAGGATGTAATGATATTGCCTGACTACATGATGCAAAGTGATAGCACGTTTGTATAGCTTACACAGTGCTGATATTAATTTTTGAGGCCCAGGTGACTTATGTTTATCCATTGGTATCCTTTTCATTTCACTTGCAGCTTCAGCTTGCCTTTTGTGTAGCCTTTATAGCAGTGTTGTTGGGCGAACTCTGGGCATTGACCTCCACCGTGATTAACTAATTCATTTCTGCATGTCGCTTTGTATATAATACACAATAGCATTTCAGGAAAGCTGCTTGAACATGTTACCATTGCAACCCTTCCTGTCTCTTTGGGGCAGCAGAAAAGTAACAGAGTAAAAATGATTACCAACTGAATAAACTTAATTCCTCTCAAAAAGTGTTGACTGAAAGAGAATCAAAATAGCAGGTCCATTTACTAGTTCTAGTTCTGGGTTTAGGATTTTCAGATAAAAGGTGCCTCTGTAGTTTCAAAGTGTTAATTTCCAGCTTCCTGCAACAATATTGTAAATGATTTGATCTAGGGCAGTTAATCCCACAAAAGGCTTGTAACCGCAGTACCTAGAGATAAGTTCCACTTAGGGGGAAAAAATGATTTTGTAATTTAAATGAAACAAAGTATAAATGAGCTTCAACTCTCCGTGGTAAGCCTTGAAGTCGGTGATATTTGCACAAGAGACAGCGAAAAGACTTTCATAGTAAAGGGTCCCCTTCTTCAGAGAGTGTTTTTCAAGGTCTTAGAAGGATAAGAAGTTAAGTGTGTGCCAGCACGTTTATTAAACTTGCGCTGCATGTGTTAATGTAACCAGGAACAAACTGTGCCTTTTTCTGCACA